ACTTTGGTGTTTTGTACTAGGTCCTGACGTGTGAGTTTTTGGTTGTGGATGCGGGCACAGCGCTCTTTGTTGGCTCCATTTTGTAGGTGCATTGTTAGGCGTCTTGACAGGGTTGTGGTAGTCATTCCGATGTAGGAGGCATTTGCCAGGAGCTCGCAGTCTCCTTTATTACACTTGTACTCGTAAATGACGTTCACTTGCTGTAGATCTGTTGTCTTTTTAGCAGGGCTGTTTTTCACAATAAGGTCCGACGTTGTGGTAGACTTGTAGTAGATGTTGAGTTGCAGTTTTGTGTTCTGTTTCTTTGGTGTAATATTTTTGTAAACAATATCATTTAGAATCCACAATACAACACTCCACCAATTAACGCCTTCCACGAGCTAGATACCATCACCTGCTTACCCATACCTATAAATATCCACCAACAGTAATCACAATTCACACAACATTCAGCCTTGATAATGGATGCAGAATGCATTCGAAATGCGTCAGCCAACTCATCACTAGCTACAACTTTTACCCGTTGTTTTAACAACATTAAGACGGCTTATCGACTTCTTGAGAAGAATTCTAAGAAGAAAGTAAACCTACAGACATTGGTCTTGTTTAACAAAATCTGCCTACAAGAAAATACTGTCACCAAAGTACACCAACATATATACATATATATATATATATATATATATACACACACTATTGAAATATTAATTATATTAATAAAAAAGTACAGTAATTGTACTTTGTTAACCAAAAAATAATTATGTAGATACAGATGATTAAAATAACTTAAATACAAGTACATAATGTTTTACTTAGTTCTAAGTAAATGTTCATGCTATATCAGACTTGCTATTTGTAAACTGTTGTGATACAATAAGCATCCACACAACTACTGGTTGATTCTGCTAATTTCTAGGATGCTTAAATATGTGTATGCAGTAATATAATTTAACAGTATATAAACAACAACTATATATTGACTTGGATGCTTTGTTACAGTATTTAATAACTAATTACTTTTGCATAGATAACAATTTTCATGTAATCAGGGCTGTTTTTGTAACAAATAAGAGGAATACAAGCTATGGTTTGATCACATTAGTAATCAACAAAGAACTTTTTGTGAGGCTAAATGTGGTATGGACTATCACTTGATTGTTAGGTATCAACAAATATATATTTGTTTACAACTCTGGCAATTTTGATACAGTGCAGACATGGTATAAATAATAATAATAGCCATCTTCAGTTTACCAGAAACCTAGGTCAGTTTTGCTATTCTTTTCTCACCCCCCCCCCTCAATAATATATTACATACAAAGCATAACATCCAGATATTTTTTTTTATTTACAGAATGACTTCTACATTACTAATTCAAAGAAGATAAAACTGTGGGAGAGGGGGTTACTTATTACACCGCTTGTTTTATACCAAGTAATATTGGTGAAGCAGGTGGTTCTCCCATCAGATGAAATATGCTTTTTGTACTGAATTTAATACATTACCATGTGTTTTTTCCGTGATTCATTTTTCGGTATCTTGGTACATTCTTTTCTGACATACTGATATGGACAATTAATTCATCATACTTCAAGAAGTTAATAATGAATACATGAGTATGTTATTGGAATCAAGATTGACATGAAGCCAGTTTTTAATTGATTAACATTTTTTCTTAAATGAAACATTTATTTAAATATCAAACTTTTTGGCCCGGCATAGCCAGGTGGTTAGGGTGCTCGACTAGCAATCTGAGGGTCGTGGGTTCGAATTCCCGTCCCACCAAACATGGTTGCCCTTTCAGCCGTGGAGGCATTATAATGTGATGGTCAATCCCACTATTCGTTGGTAAAAGAGTAGCCCAAGAGTTGGCGGTGATGACTAGCTGCCTTCTCTCTAGTCTTACACTGCTAAATTAGGGACGGCTAGCACAGGTAGCCCTGGTGTAGCTTTGCACGAAATTCAAAAACAAACAATCGAACTTATTTGAGGTTATCATTCTTACTCACATATGTGGGGTCCAGATAGTAATGAAATTTTACAGGGCAGACAGGATATTGGAAATATACATGATAAACACATATCAGTTCAGAATGATGGTACAACTATAAAACATGTACCACATGAACCTGCTAGAGTGTTTCACTTTTTCTTGTGACATGGAGGTTCAGTAAAGACAAAAGTTAAGTGCTGTCAGAGGCACATATTGGAGATACACTTAATTAATATTTTTAAAGGATGTCAAAATTTAAACATTTGCCAGTCTTATTGTGGAAAATACTGAGGTAAGTACAACAAATGCTTCAGTTTTAAAGAAAGTCATTTTTTTTCAAAGGCTGTGGGATTAAAAGTGAGTATTTGGTTTGAAAGTCAAAAAATTTTTTTATTAGAAGTAGCTCACATTTCTGTGTGGTTGGCATTCATTTTGAAGACAAGTAGCTGTTTGTCGAGACTTGTCAGCCTGACAAGTACTTATAATTAATCAAGGTGCAGGAGGTGCTAATATGGGAGAATCTGGTATTCTTCCTTTTATGAATTCCAGGCTTTAGCAACATTATACTTTCTTATATAAATATTATAGTAAAAAGAAACACTTGATTCTATAAAACAGTAGATTTTAGCCTATCTTTCAGCATATCCTCACCTTTCTTTCAGAACAACACGAGCAACGATTGACAAATCTAAGACAATTAGCAGATAAACTAAAGGACGATGATTGGAAGTATACACCAGTGGAAAAGCTACTAGGTCTTCAGTGATTTCGTTGTAATGCTCAGGTGGAAAGACTGTTTTTTAATTTTATATTAACATATTATAGAGAGTTTAATATCGCCTGTACTTGTACATTTTTTAAATAAAGTCATTGTATGTGTATTGTTATCAACTGTTGTTGATTTGTAAAACTACCTAAAATGTTGTCATTATATGAAACAATTTCAAAACCAGGATAGTGGACAAATTTATATATCTTATTTTTTTTTAACATGTCAAGATTAGAGCTGGGCCATTAGTGGAACTTAATAACTGATTAATTGCCAGGCCCATTAAGTGATTACATTTCTCTAAATAATTATCCTCACATGAGACTTTGATAGTTGAAATAATCAAAAATAGTAATAATTGGAAATAGTAGTTCAAATAGTTGATTATTTTAGTGAATTCTGACACTGAACAACATTAAACAAATTGAAACAGCAAACTTTAGAATCGCCACAGACTTTTCAAACGTGTGTTGTGAAAGACGAGTATAGCACATACTTTCTCACCAGCTTTGGTGACGTAATGACAAAAATGTTAAAACTTCCGTGTAGTTTGCTTCTATACAATTCCTTGTCTGAAAACACTTGGTCCAGGACTGTTGGAGTTTCTTAGTATTTGCGTGTCCTCCTGCCCTTGTCTCCCTCATTTGGAGGATCAAATTTCTCTCCTTACTTTTCTCAGCCTGCAGAAATGCAGTGACGTCCTTCTCTTGGCGATCCAAAGCCTGAGAATAATATGAGAGAGGGATCAGTCACGTGTTCACATCATTGCGAGAGACAGGAAACGGAGCTTTCGTTCATGGAAGTTTCTTATCTAAGACGAGTGTTACTTGGTTTTCTAGCTATAACGGTTTTCTTCATATTTAATCTTACAGGAGTTTGTCTGGAGTAAAGAAAAACTGCAGTTGTACACATTCTTCCAGTAGAGAGCCAGAGTTTATGACCATCTACGCAAGTACACTCACTATTTTGGTTGTTGTGTAAAAAGTGTGTCACTTAACTGCAAACGTGTCCAATCTGGTTATTTCTCACTCAACTAAAGACTTAGTCAAGTTTACAAATTCAGATAACTAGTCAAATGCCGTGTTCGAATCCTACTGTTATTAGCAGACCTATCCTATACTTGTACAGAGGTCAGTTTATCTGTGAATGTCACAGGTGCAACACTTTGGAAGCGTTATGATATACCCGCTAGATAATTAAAAGTATATGCATAGGTGATGGTGGTCGGCCTTCTCTCTGTTTTGGAGTTAAAAATTAGAGACTGAATCCTAAGGTGTCCCTGACCTGGCCACTTAGCCCATGTGCACATAACGTGTATTTCAGATTGAAAATTCTAATTACTGTCACTTGTATATTCATTAGTTTTGGTTTAGAAAGTTTAAGCTGTTGAGTACAACAAATAATACGTAAATTAAGTCTGTAGTCGTAGCCTTCGCCAAAGAAGTACTACAATCCAGAACAATGAACTAATTAAAGTAAGGAATTTGAAAATCCTAATTTAAGCCAGGTATATTACTCAATACCTGCGTGGATGCTTCACACAAAGGGGTTTGATAAGGAACTTGTTATGAACTTTAAAGTTAGTGAAAAGTATTTGATATTGGATAAGAAGTCATGTGCTTCACATCTTTGTTTCGGAACAACCACCACCTTAAAAAAAATACCTACATTTCTAAATAACGTTGAATAATCCACTTCAAATATGTAAAAATAAATATTCTCTATTTTAACGAGTTTTGTATTCTAAATCGTTAATTATCAAAAATTATTACATAAAAATAAACTTTTATAGTGCCACGATGCAGAGGTTGTCTACAGTAAATAAACCACACAGGTATATGTTGATATCCACTTAGAGCTAGAAGATTAGAAGCGTAGAACTCGTTATAAAATGGTTTTATCGAAACCGATAAAAGAAAATATGATAATCGAACGTACAGCAGACATTCACTAGTTGCTTCGTTGGTTATTCTACATAAATTGTGAAATCAAAAGAGTATGAAAAAATCAACAATCATATAATACATATTCCTCTTTTTTTATCTTCATAGACTCAAAAATGATTGAGTGGGGGGGGGGGTTATAGCAAAGCTACATCGGGCTGTCTGTTGTGTCGACCGAGGGGAATCAAACCCCCTGATTTCAGCGCTGCAAGTCCATAGACTTACCGAGGGACCAACAAGATTGAAAACAAAAAGAACTCTTAATTTTCACGTTAGTCAAATCTTGTTTTTCCAATAAAGTCAGAATTACAAGAATAATTTCAAGAACTGACTCTACAGCCTAATGATATATACCTTACTGTATTAAGTAAATTAATTATATTTGTTCCTTAAGAAATATTCCGTCAGGGAGAGGTTCATCATTTCTCTGTAAACAATCTCCCTTAATCACAATCAAATTTAATGCATGATAACAAAAATATACCAAACATAAACACAGAAAATAAATCTATAAATATTTACTAACTATCTAAATTTTTGTTCTCTTTGTCATCTTTTTAAAACTGATGTATTACAAATTTCCTTGTTTATATTTCACCATCTTCCAATTCAGTTCTTTTTATTATACGTCTAATCTATAGAGGCTCTTCAGATCTTATTCGTCATAGAAGTTCATTCTGTGATTGCCTTTGTGCTACTATATTAACTACAACACCTTAAAATTAGCGTGCATTTCAGTTGTCCCCCGATTGGACATCGGAGTTACAACTATAAAATTCGGGATTCGATTCCCCGCGGTAGACACAGCAGATAACCTAATGTGGCTTAGCACTAAAGACAAAAAATATCGTTTCAGTTATAGCTACTATCTTTTTTTATTATTTATTTACTGGAATTTAAAAAGAAAAAAAAAAAGACTTGAAAGTCCAGAACAGAGTTGTTTCAATCTAAAAATATGATTGTTTTTAATTGATT